AAGAATTGTATAAATTTTTTTACCCACTCTGAATCTACTGCTGCAAAACTTACACATTCATGCCTTTCCCTTTAATTAGTATTTTTTTAAAATGCATAAAGAACAACATGGACGGCCTGCTAGTTGCATGAAAACTCCATGAGAACATTGGGCAGATAAAGGTCCATCACCACCATGAATTCTACAGACAATCAACTAAATTAATTAGTCAATGGGCTTGGAGAGAACGAGCAAGCCAAAATTAGTGGTTTAATGGCGGGTCACCCAACTATTCAAGAAGAAGAAGGCGTCGAGCAACTACCGTGCATCCGCCTGTTTCCTCCCACATTGGGGCGGCTGGCACCGATGTTGACGCCCTTCTGCTTCCCTATAGGGCATGGGGCACCTGGATCAAGAAATTGCTGGTTGACGCATGGATAGGGCAAGAAACTTGCTCACATCAGACTGTCCAGGTTGAAAGCATTATTAGAAATCTGATGTTGGCGAATTAGACTGGTATGAACAACAGAACTCAAACGAAACAAAGCCGCGGGAAACCCAACGGTGCAGCCAGGAGCAAATCAAGAATCCCTAGAGTGGTCGTTTTGAACACATACACACAAATAATAATGGCAGATTGATGATAAGCTACACGCACCACTACAGTTTGTACGCACTGCTTGGGTATCCTGCAAATAAAACAGAGGTAATAAATTCCTTATAGCTAATCACATGAATATAGCAAATTGATTACCTGTGGTTTGATTCCATGTGCTCTATCCAAAATAGATCAAATATGCAGGACATCCTAGGCTATGAGTGGTCAGCTGTAGATGCTGCTGCTTGTGCTTTTGCACCAAAGGGGCCTGAAGAGCCCCATCTCCCTTCAACAACCTCTGAATAGTAAAGAACATCATATAACAAGTAATTAGGAAAAAGATAGTCTAATCGAAATCAATTCGTTCGAATAACCATATGTGCATAGTGACAAGAGTATGTTTCACAGGGGGATTGCAAAGTATGTTGCAGCCTCAGAAGCAAGCTTCATGCGTTGCCGATGCTCAAAATTGATGTATATATATTAACCCCACCGTCCCAATGAGGTGAATAAATCTGCAAAAGAAATAAACTCGGCTTAGACCCAAAAGTAAGCTAGCTTAAAAGAAATCCTTACTGATGGCGCCAGTCATATAGGATTGCCCATAGCTTTTGCACTTTCTCTCTGCAATCAAAATCAATCACCATGACATAAATCTGAAGTTGTTGCTCAGGATGAGAAGGAAAGTGATCTACGAGCAACACTAGACCTGGACCTAGAACCACTGGCTCACTTAGAACACGAGTTAGTCGATTGTTGTGATAAGAGTAAGGGTTGAGAGTGAGCGGGGAGAAGGTTAGAGTTTGTCTGTTCAGTTACAGTTCTGAGCAGAATAATTTTTTTTATTTTAGAAAATGTGGCAAATTGCATTTCATAAGAGATGGCTTTGCTGTAAATTGCATGATTGAGAGGTTTTTATATATTTTTCATCAAGTCGTACAATTTTTTTCTTTGGATAGAAAGGTAAATGCATAGGTAGGTTGATTCAAGAGTTAATAATGGACATCATGGCGTATCAATTGCATGGACATCATATTTTTATTTTGTGGTAATGCATGACATTCAACTATATGTTACAACATGACAATAACTCGGAAGACATCGGATATGCCTTCTTGGCTCGGAGGGTGTCACGGGCGGCGCACGCCTCCTCGCCTAATAACGGTGGCCGGGGACTCCACCTTGGCGGTCCGTGGTGGAAGTACAGTGTGAAGAATAGAGGGTGCCATGATGAAGGTGAGCCGGGTGTCATCTGGTTCGGACTTCCACATTTCTCATCCACATGTGGGCTGGATTTAGGGGAGCCCGGACCATCTAGATGCTTGGATTTTGGGGAGCCTGCTAGGCACCCATTTGATGTCTGAACATGCTCGAACATATGAGAGACAAATGAACTTCGGACTTGGAGGCGACATTAATTATTTGTTTGATGTGTCATTGTCAGGGTGATGTAATGTTAAAGTATGTATACAACGACACATATATGCATGGAGCTTGTAAAAATTATATATTAGACACGATTGGTGTTGAACCGTCAAAATATGTGTGCTCCCGTTGCGACGCACGGGCAATATAACTAGATCATGTGTAAAAGTTAGTTAAGTTGAGCCCAAATTAAATTGAGTCGTGGAAGAGGAAGAGGGGGGATGTGTGTGTGAGAGAGAGAGATCATGGGTGGGAGAGAGAAGGTGGGGGGAGAGAGATATGAAGGGTGGTATATAGAGTGGGGAAAGCGAGAGGGATATGCATTTGTATTTATGGGTGCAATAAAACAAATTAAAAGGTCTGTGGCAACGCACAGGCATTCTACTAGTTTCTGTTAAGATACTTCGTTGGTGTGCATGAGTCGTGGCACGAGCCGACGTCGCTCCTCCGCGATCGCAGGTGAGGTGGCCGCCGCCTGCCTTCGCTGGAGCAGGGACCCACTGAGCCTCCTGGCCGCGCATCCAACCGCCGCCATCGTCACAGGCCTGCAAATAATTAGGGATTAGGAGAAATCCGTCACGAATCACCACCGCCGGCCGCTGCCCCTCCCCTACATGCCTACACTAACGGGTTGAAGTCCGTGGAAAAACGAAAAATTTCGGTGGATTTGGTGAGCCGTGAACGTACCTCGGGCTAGGGTTCCTTGTTCGCCTTTCCCAACGCCAAAAGAAGGGGTGGGGTGAGGTGTTTTCTTCTTGTTGTTTTTTGAAATTCGGCAACCTTTATTAAACAATAATCATGTTACACGAGAAGGAATAAGAAAGTCAGAAGGATGTTCGCACCACTCCTCAGATAATTTCCTTCTTTAACTAGCTCGAGCAGGCGAATGCACAAGAACATTGCTTTCCCGTGCGTAGTGTACTATAATCGCCCTGCTGAAAGAGCTCATAATCTTCTGTCACTCATCAGTCACCACGGCTCCTGATGCTTGATACTCTGCGGGGTCAATGATTTTTTTTGAAAACGATGATAAACCCGGCCTCTGCATCGAATGATGCACACAACGATATATTATTAAGAGAACAAAATTCAGCGGTCGAACAACATTGACCTGGACAACCACTAATCTTATGATAAAAGGCAATCTAAAAAATACACAACTTCTAGGTTACGCCTTGAAGAAGGAATTGTCACACATGCGTCGATGATGACGAGTCCGCCACAAGGTTGATCTCGGGATTATTGTCCCCAAAGCCAAGTTTCGAACCACCACCTTCATCAAGAACACGATGTAGACGCGCATCGATATAGCCTAATCAGAGATCTTGTGTTTCCACTCGAGAGCATAAACTCACCATTGAAGCCGCCTCTATCATCATCACTTGTCCGGCTACCGACGTCTCAATAGTTGAATACCTTTGAAGAAGATGCCAGAAGACAAAGACGTCCCATACGCCTCGCTTCCCATCACCGTCGTAGCATCTTCGATCCAGCAGCGACGGGCTAAACATGACACCTCCGCTAGAACCACCATGCAGCACCTGCCGGCAGTAGGCCTGATTTGACGACTCTGCATGAGTCGTGCGAAGCATCCGTCGGCGGCATCACCTGCCGACGACAAGCACTACCTGCTGCCTCCGGGGTCAAGGATGGCTTGAAGTATCTCCATAGAATCACATTCCACAACCACTGAGAGGATCTCCAACGAATCCGCAATTCGCAAACCTTCCAGCAATGCCACCGCCTCCATTGATGTGGCATCAAATGGCAAACTCCTTAAACAAACACGATGCAGCTATGAACGCCCCATTTGAGTCTTGCAGCCCTTGCATATTGGTGATAGCTCGCATCGACATTTAATTTTATAGTCCCTGACACTGGCCTGATCCACACTTGATCTTCCTTGTCGGAGCTTTTATCTTTAGAGCCAAAACATTCGCCACAATTCCTTTCGTACTTATGGCCAATCTGATAGGGGGTCCAACTCTCTCCTCATGTGAAATTTTTCGGAATGGGTAGCGCCCTCTTGTGGGGTGGGGTGGGGTGGGATGGGGTGGGATGGTTAATTTCTTGGCAAACACTTGAAGTCAGCCAACTAATCTTTTCATGCGCGTCGACCGCCTTCGTGGCCGTCGGTTCTAGTTTTGATCAGATGGCTAAAGTGTGTTGCCATGCCAAACGGTTGGCAACCATCCAAATAAATCCGGAATTTTGGGTCATTACAAAAAAAAAGTAGAGTACACACTTCGGTTACAATTCAAACGTACCTATGTGCCATGTAGAGATCTTCCAAATAAAACATCAGGGGAACAAAATTGCCCACTTAAGACTGTTTTGGTCTGATTAATCGCAATCCCATATTACCAGTTGCCCCAAAAATAAGAAGTTGGCATGTTTCTTTGTGGCACAAGACTGAAGCTGGAGAGATCCAGCCGATCGTCCGGCCTGACTTGCATAGTTGCATCGCCAATTTTGACGGGTGCCACACAAACGCGCTCACGCTGGACTCCCCGGCCACCACCCTCCTCACAGCCAGCGGACACGGTGTTGACCTACATCAAGCCCGCGCCACACCTCCATGAACTGAAGCCCTCAAGCTCTAGCTAGGCTGCAAGACTAGCTCAGTTCAGTGCACCCGAAACCAGTGCGCGCAATTTTTTTATCTAGTTCGCTCACTGTCTGTCGCACGGCCTGTAATATTACACACCAACTCTTTGGCGTCTTGTTTTATATCATGGTAATGGGAAGTTTGAAACATAAAAGGGACTGCAACATCTGTCGTTTTGAATTGGTAGATAGTGCTATAACTTGACACCATGACATGCTCACCTCACATAGTACAATCTTTTAATAAACCTAGAAATTAATCGTGATTTCGTTATGAGCCGCGTCACAACCCTGTTAATCTGAAACTCATTTGCGATGCAAAAAGGAAAAAGGAAACGCATGTCTACACATGGGTGTAGCGAGCTAGACGATCTAGAGTTTTGACCAATGTTCAGGCGTTGCGACGACCAACATGTGCGACAAATCCAGCCTTGATTCGATCGACGGACCTTGAAGACCCACACTACAGAAAGAAAGAAAAAAGGGCAGGGCAAATTCAGAGTTGCAACCAAAAGTTTCTTTGGATGATGGAAAAGGATACAATAGTAGTAACAGAGAAAACTTATTTTCACAAGAAACCAGATTTCCACAAGCAGTTGTTTTGTTATTAAAGCGGAATGCATGAAACTATAACAGGATTCCATGTAAGATAGAGAAAAATAAAAAGGTAGTAAGTACATGCCAAGAACTATTAACATTGCTTATGCCTTGGTTATTGCAATTTTATTCACCACCTAAAGTACTTGTCAAACAATGTAGGCAATGAAGTTGCAACTCATCATTTTCAGAAATGATAGGTGGGTCATGGCATGGTGAATTTGCATTTAATAACAAATATAAAGATACTGTATGAGGAATCATATGTGGTGATAAATAGCAAAATGTTCAACATGGGATTGACAAATCATGTGGAAGGAAACATGATGTAACCAAATACTTATATGCGCCTAGATATGACATTTTACCTGCTCACAGCGAAGGAAGAAGAGACGGTTTTCCTTGGTTATAGTGGTATCATGGCCCTTACATCCATTGCAGATGACATACGCATCTGAAAGGTTTTCATAATAGAAAAGGTCACAAACAGCCCACCGAATTCAGGAAACCATTTGTTCTAGCAAGGGCGCACTTCAAACACTGAAGCAATGAAATAGCATGAGGGCACTTACTGATGTATCTCCTGAGGATCGATTCAAAGGATTTCGGAGCAAATCTCCCTTTGATCACCAACCTGTTCTGCCCATCAATTGAACCGGTTGTTGCCATCTCAGAGAGGAAAAAATCCATCACGTGATTAGGGTCCCTACGCAACCTGGAGATGTAGATTTGCAGATGGTTAGTTTGTCAAAATCTGGCGAAAGTGCATTCCAGATAAAGGCATGAACAGAAACACACGTTTTACACGACTCCATAAAGTTCACGAATACCGTCTTCCTCGTGCCCTCCCTAAGAATCTTAGGAGGGCACATAACCACTTTTCCTCTGTTCACGGCGAGATCTGGATTGTTTCCAGCGATAATGTTGAACACTCTATCCAGTAGCTGCAAAATAAAAAAAATCCAATAAGTCAATAACAAATAAGTAAAATTGCATGGTTTTTATTTATTTATGTATTTATTGTAAAAGAAACTACAGAGGCACCTCTTGATAGTCGCTGTCGGTTCCCCCTCCAATTACAATGCCTTCTTTCTCCTCTACAGCTTGATGATCTGAAGAGCATGGAATCGGATACGTCAAAACAGAAGCCACGATTCACGAAGAGTAAAGATAAAAAATATCAACATTCATATGAACTGTACCTAGAATGTCCCGTCCATCTCGCATGTCAGCAATAGATGTGCCAAGCTGAACCTGAAATTTGCACGACGAACAAAGTTAAACCCTCAGTTCAGTTTCCGGTCTTCAAGTGTTTATGGATTCGCTTGTTTCTTCTTCACCCCGGAAGTATACTGAGCTCGCCTTAACTTTTGGACGACACTTTTGTGACCAAATTAACTGATTATAAAACGAACCCTACACAAAAAGTTCCCATGCTAGAAACCTAGAGCCCTAGAAAAAGTTCACAGTTCAAAGCCCCGTACAGACACTGGCTGGCTGAGTACGTCGGCGCAATGCTTCAGAAATCCAATTATATTGAAACTAAATAAAAGCTACTCCCTCCGTTTCAGTTTACAAGTCTGCGCGTACACCTAGGTTGCCAATTTTATCACTCTAATTGTAACACAAAAATTATACTGTTTGAAAATAGAACATCTGAAGTTTATATTGATATATTTTTTTGTAATATATGACTTGTATTAGGTTGATCAAATCAACGATCTAGTGGTACATGCACGCACTGTAAACTACTCCCTTCGTCACATAATATAAAAACGTTTTTCAATCTATGTTAGATTGAAAAACGTTCTTATATTATGGGACTGAGGGAGTAATAGAGAAGGAGTACTCCGACGGAACCGAATTGATCATGAAAGTCGAGCTACGCGCGCGTGCGGCAAGCTCTGCTCTCTCACCTCGGGCCCGTCAAAAAGAAAAAGCAAAGTAAGTAGCTCACCTCGGAGGCCGCCATGGCTGCGGTCGGCGTCGTCGGCTCCTCCTTCCCGCGGCGCGGCACGGCTGGTACGTACGGGGCGGCGATCGATCGGTCGAGCGCGCGCGAGAGAGGGAGAGGGTTTCAGTCCGCGTTGGGTGTGGTTTCTCTGTCGCCAAATCGATCTCGCGGCTTCTGATGATTGTTTCTCCGGCCTCCATGCGGTATGTCGCTATACATACGCTGACGAGGTAGTAGCGGAATATGGTAGCGCGTCCCGCAAGTTTCCTCCTGAACCTTTTTCCTTTTTGATTGGTGGAGAAAAAAAAGAGGAGCTTTTTCGTTTGCGTTTCATTTTTTTCGTTCTTCGTTTGCCTCATGGCACGCGGAAATCCGCTGCCGCACCTGGTGGGCCGGCCCATGAACACGCAGCATATTTGTAGCGCGAAAAACCTTCTAAAAATATTTGCTCCCGTTGCCTGACCATTAAGAGCGTGTTTGGTTGTTGTGCGCTACAGTATCTACGTTGCATACCCTTTTTCACTTAGCCTGGCTCTGGAAAACAGTCTCATATGCGACATTTACGAGTTGTTTGGTTGCCTGCATATGGACTTCCTGCATTAGGAGATCAACTTTGGCACGTTGTTTGATTGCCTGCATTGTCTTGAGGCATGCAACTACACACTGTTTGATTTCCTGTATGGGGTATGATTAAGAGCTAACACTTGCACTTAGCACACAAGATTAATAGCTAGCAGAGGAAGGGGGAGAAGAAATGCAGTGTGCGCCGGACCATGACGACTGCGGTGGATAGTGGTCATGGCGCCGTGTATGACATGATGACCATGGAGTCGTGGATGAGCGACCCCATCGGCGGCACGACAAGCGACACTGTCGGTGAACTAGTTGCGGTGCTCGCGCAAAGACAATTGACAGAGGAGGAGAATGCAGTGCTCGCGCCATGATATCGTCAGTGCAGTGGACGAGAGAGGAGGCTGAGATGATCGACGCTGGAAACGACTCCAGTGTAGTAGGGCGAGAGAGAGGAGGCGAAGATGATCGACCTCGCCAGCGGCGTGGCGGACTGCAGTGTGCACGGAGGAAGAGGACACAAGAAAGCAGTGTGCGCGCCATTGCGGCGTCAGTGCAGTAGGAGGACGACAGAGAGTAGGCCGAGATGAGCGACGCCGGAAACGACTCCAGTGTAGTAGCACGCGAGCAAGGAGATCAAGGGGAAGGGCTTCGGCCTCGAGAGGGACGAATAGGAGAGCTCTGAGCAGATGATAGAGGAGCTCGACATGGCGGCATCAGTGCAGTAGACTGCTATTCAAAGAGAGATGAAGCTATGATCATCGAAACCAAAAACTTAGGAACTGCGAGATTAGGCTGCTGGTCAAAGGAAATTTCAAATGATCAATCGTTCGCGACGAATCTGACAAAATTCGTTCAGAATAGCTCCAAACGGGAACACGATATTAAGAACTTACGGCCGACGAAACTACAAACCGATCGCCTGAATGAAACCGTAGCATCGAGGTGCATCTTTTTCATGTAGAGCTTACCTCGAACCGAAGCACCATTGTGTAGATCAAAGGGGGGAGATTAGACATGAGCTTACTGGAGGTTGAAGAAGACCTCACGTAATCACCTCACATCCCTCCCATCTCTCACTCGCTTGCGCTCGCCTCGGCCTAGCTGGTGAGAAACTGCCGATCTGAGCGTTTCCAGTGAGCCAGGCCTAGAGATGCTTTAAGTTTCATGCTATGCTGGCCCAACAGTAAAACGAGGCTACCAAACGGCCCGTTTGTAAGGGCATTTTATCCCTTAGTTGGTTTTGGTGATTGATGACAATACTTTTGCGGACTAATCATGTGCATCGAATATTTCAGATATATATTGACTAGGCACAAGATGTTTTGGTTTCCCTCGAAGGCTATGGAAGACGGCGTTTCTCTACGTTTCTTTTCGATGGTATTGAGTCGTAGGGAAGCCGTACTATTAAGAGGGGGTCCGCGTCGGAAAGGGTGGGTGGATTCATCACGTACACATGTTCCTTTGTACCTCCTTTTCTTCTAGCCTTTGGAGCATCCTATGTTTTCCTTGTCTATGCGAATATTGCTCGTGCTTGCTGAACTAGGGTGTGCGGTAGTACTATTCCTTAGAGCGGTAGTACCGCAGGCCCTTGCGGTAGTACCGTCCGCCGGTGCGGTAGTACCGCAAGCGCCCACGGTAGTACCGCTTCCTGGCAAGCGGTAGTACTATGGCCGGAGTCCAGATGTTGTCACCCTCTCCCTAGTGGGTGGCACCCATCACGGTAGTACCGTGCTACTGGGCACGGTAGTACCATGGTATCTGGCTTAGTACCGTGGTAAGGGGCGGATGAGATTTTTTTCATCTGCGCCTAGCATGGTAGTACCGCTGCTGGCTTACGGTACTACCGCGGCGGGTTTTTGCATCGACTCCAACTCTGCGGAAGTAGCCACGGTTGTAATTTACTCCCTCTATTTTTGTATACAAGGCCACAAACTCATATTACAAGTACTAAGATAAAAATCAATGCCATGTTTAAGTCAATGTTGCAAGCTAGCTTGTCACCCTGTTTGTCGTGTTAATTAATGTGGTTTTTCTCTCCCACGCACAACAAGCCAACTCTCTTACTCCTCATTGGTTGATTAATAATGGGAATGCAAGCTAAACTTCTCACTCCCGCATGCACACAAGGGATATTAATGTCCTCGGGTGCTAGTACGAGGCAAACGCCATCAATTTTGCCTCGATTAATGTTAGTGGCCTTGTATAGTTGCAAATTGTAATTTTGATAGTGGCCTTGTATACAAAAATGGAGGGAGTATTATATATGTTCCTTCCCATCTCTGGACAGTCCATGCCTTGCGGTAGTACCGCAAGGGGGCGCGGTAGTACCGCGCCAGCAGTACTGCCGCCCTCTGCCTTAGTGCATTTTGGGCTGTTCTGGTCTCTGCTGCGTGGGCGGTAGTACCGCGGGGCCCTGCGGTAGTACCGCGTGCCCCTGTGGTAGTAGCACTCCTCTGGTACGATAGTACCGCGTTGCGCAGGCTGAGTTGGTGGATAACGGTTGGATTTATTCTTCTACTATATAAGGGGTGTCTTCTTCCTCTAGTTGACTACCTCTTCCACCTCTAAGCTCCATTAATGCTCTAAGCTTCATTTTCGCCCAATCTCTCTCCCTAGCCAATCAAACTTGTTGATTTGCTCGGGATTGGTTGAGAAGGCCCCGATCTACACTTCCACCAAGAGAAATTTGATTCCCCCACCAATCCCTAGCGGATCTTGTTACTCTTGGGTGTTTGAGCACCCTAGACGGTTGAGGTCACCACGGAGCCATAGTCCATTGTGGTGAAGCTTCGTGGTGTTGTTGGGAGCCTCTGATTAAGTTGTGGAGATAACCCCAACCTTGTTTGTAAAGGTCCGGTCGCCGCCTCCAAGGGCACCAATAGTGGAATCACGACATCTCGCATTGTGTGAGGGCGTGAGGAGAATACGGTGGCCCTAGTGGCTTCTTGAGGAGCATTGTGCCTCCACACCGCTCTAACGGAGACGTACTTCCCCTCAAAAGGAAGGAACTTCGATAACACATCCTCGTCTTCACCGGGTCCACTCTTGGTTATCTCTTACCTTTACTTGTGCAAGCTTATTAGTGTTACTTCTTTTGCTTGCTTGTGTGTTCGTTGTTGTTGCATCATATAGGTTGCTCACCTAGTTGCACATCTAGACAACCTACTTTGATGCAAGGTTTAATTTGGTAAAGAAAAGCTAAAAATTGTTAGTTTCCTATTCACCCCCCTTTAGTCAACCATATCGATCCTTTCAATTGGTATCAGAGCCTCATCTCTTTACGAAGGACTTTGTCGTCTGAAGAGTATGGTTGACACCATAGACGGTGTGGAGGAGCACTCCGATGTGAATCCGATCTCGTCTACGGGTGATGGGGGAACCTCGGTCTCCCGTGAGGAATTCAATGTAGCCTTGGAGACATTGAAAACCTCAATGACGACCGAGGTTGCATGTTTACTAAATTCATTGAAGGGCTTAAACTATCCACCGCACCATTGAAAGTGGGTGATCCCACTGACAAGGTGACGGATGCTAACTCCGACAAGGGGGAATCTAGTAGTGAAAAGGCTCCTTCTTCTGGTGGTAAAAATGGCACCGGCATCTTTGCCCATGTGGAACCACCACTTGTTTATGGTGGACCGATTCCTTCCACTCATTTGAATCATGGTGGTCCTCCCCCTAAGATTGTGAAAAATGAGGACTTTGATTCTTGGGTTTATCGCTTTAAGCGTCATTTAAATCATGTGAATACTAATCTTTGGAGAATTATTGAACAAGGTTTCTATCCGCATGACCCAAGCAACTTCACACCTCGAGAAGCCACAGATAATCAATTCAATGAGAATGCTCTCTTGATCATCCAAGATGAAATTCCACCCTAAGATCTACCTCATCTTCGGCCATTCGCCTTCGCCAAAGATGCATGGCTTTGTGTTGTCTCTCTCTACCGGGGAAGCGCAAGCATTCAATGCTCCAACTATGAAGTAGTGCAAGATGAAGCCAATGAGTTTGCTATGAAAGAAGATGAAGAACCTCGTGAGCTTTATTGGAGAGTAACCAAACTCGCGGTCTCACTCCGAGATCATGGGAGCAAGGACATGGATGAAAATTGGATCAAGCGCAAATTCCTCAAGGCAATGATGCCTTACCACAAGGCCATGCCCTCCGTCATTCGTCAAAGGCCCGACTTCCACACCTTGACCTCAAGTGAAGTGTTGGATGAGTTTGTGGCTATGAACATCTTGGACAAGACCGCCGACATGTGGTGCTTCGCTCTCAAAGGGCAAAGAAGCCCAACCTTGCATTGAAGGCCAAGGTTTGTGTTGAAGAAGAAGAAGAAGAAGAAGAAGAAGAAGAAGAAGAAGAAGAAGAGGAAGAAGAGGAAAGCAACCCCGAAGATACAAAGTATGCCTATCATGAACACATGGCACTTGCTTCAAGGCAAT